CACTATACTGAACTGAGAGGAAAGCATCACTGCGTATAAAGCAGTAACCTTTTTCCTACTATCCTATCTTTCACTTCTTGCCAGCAGCAACCTAACAATTCTCAGCAGATCTGTTCACAGACAACATGGAAAGATTTTTAAATCAAAAGGAATTCCAGAAAGGTGTCAAGATCAGAGTTCCAAGATGAAGGACTTAAAATTTATCCACTGCAATGGTTCCTGCAGGAAAAGACTTTTAAAGCTAAATTGAATAACACACAGACATACATTGGTTCTAGAACTCATTGGAATTTAGACTACAATTAACAACGTAGGTTTTTATTGTTCTTAAACACTCATGTTGCGACCATAAACAACCAAGTTGTGACAACTACATATGAAATATCTCAGTCCTCAACTGCATATATTCTTTCTTCTTCTATCTAGGGAAACACAGTAAGGATTAAGAATTTTTCTGTTAAGAGCCCAAATCTACCTAGAGTCTCAATTTCACTAATACACAGACCCACTACTCCTCCCACACAAGAGCAAAATGTGCCCGAGCCCAAAAAAGGGAGTAGGAAAAATCTTCGTGACCTTCTTCAAGAATGAAAAACCACCATTTGTAACCACAAACAGCCTATGTATTTCTATGAAACTCAGATTCATGTGGGGGAAGGAAAGGAAAGTGAAAACCAAGCTATACCTCCTCTGAAATAATATATTGTTTGCCATTCTGAGAAGATTGCATTGGTTCTTGGCTCTCCATTTCCAAACCAGTCTTTACAGCCTTCAGGTGAGAAGTTCACCCTGCAAGATAACGAGATTTGTTTAGGCTAAAATTATTTTTCTGAATTAAACATTAGTCCCCAGGCCACTAGTCAAAGTACTTAAATAGCAAAAAATTCATCTACCATCAACGCTGCCTGTCTCAGTATCTGAGGGAACTGCCACAGGTGGAAACGTGAACAGGGAGGCCTGGGGATAAGGCAGGAAGTGACAGCAGTCCCAGTCACACTCAGCCACACCAGCCAAGTTCCTGCCGTGCCTGTTCTAGGCACTCAGGGGTCGACGTTCTTCATCAGATTTTTCTCTTTTTTTTTTTTTTTTTGAGAGTCTCACTCTGTCCCCCAGGCTGGAGTGCAGTGGCACGATCTCAGCTTACTGCAACCTCTGCCTCCTGGGTTCAAGAGATTCTCGTGCCTCAGCCCGAGTAGCTGGGAGTATAGGTGTAGGTCACCATGCCTGGATAATTTTTATATTTTTAGTAGAGATGGGGTTTCACCACGTTGGCCATGCTGGTCTCGACCTCCTGACCTCAAGTGATCTGCCCTCCTTGGACTCCCAAAGTGCTGGGATTACAGGTGTGAGCCACCACGCCCAGCCTGATTTTTCTGACTCCGAATCTTAAATTCTTTCCAAGGGAAGACAGCAGAAAGATTATTTATCACTCTCCATGTCCACCTCTCAGTCTTTTATCCATCCTTTACACCTAACTTTACTTATTTTTTGAGATGTAAGATCTCATTCTGCTGTACAGGTTGGAGTGCAGTGGCGAAATCATGGCTCACTGTAGCCTCTACCTCCCAAGCTCAAGTGCTCCTTGCATCTCAGCCTCCTGAGTAGCCGGGATTACAGGTGCATGCTACCACAGCCAACTAATTTTTTAAACTGTTGGTAGAGGTGGGGTCTCACTATGTTTTGCAGGCTGGTGTCAGACTCCTGGGCTCAAGCGATCCTCCTCCCGCCTCGGTGTCCCAGAGTGCTGGGATTACAGGCATGAACCACTGTCCTCACCTCCCCAGTTACTTTTAAGTTTCGGCAGCTATCAAAGTCATAGTTGCAGAGAAAGGATCGGGTAGTACTACAAGTTCTGTTACGAATAGAGCAGGCCCTTATCCCATTTATTGTATCTTATTATTTCCTCTTTCTTTATTCCTTCATTTTTGGACCCTGCCTGTCCGAAGGTCAAAGTCTTTTTTTGTTACCCACATGGTTGATAATTCAGCTGTATATAGAATTATAGGCCCAAAGCCAATTTTCTATGAAACTGGAAGGCATTGCTTAGTTGTCTTGCTTCTGATGCTGCTGTTGAGAAGTCCAAAGCTATTCTTATTCTTCACCTTTTTGCCACGTCCTCTGTTTTCCTCCTCTGGAAGCTTGTAGTTCGTCACACTTTCATGTTCACATTATTGTACTGGGAAGTCAAGTGGGTCCTTTCCATCTGGAAACTTCTTACTATGCTTCTTTACAGGGAATTTTTCTTGAATGACTTCACTGTTAATTTCCTCCCCAGTGTTTTCTCTGTTGTTTAAGAACTGTTACTTAGACCAGGCACAGTGGCTCACACCTGTAATCCTAGCCCTTTGGGAGGTGAAGAGTCTGAGACCAGCCTGGGTAACATCGGGCGTGGCGGTGGGCACCTGTAGTCCCAGCTACTCAGGAAGCTAAGGCAGGAGGGTGACTCGGACCCAGGAGTTTCGGGTTGCAGTGAGCCGAGATCACACCACTGCACTCTGACGTTCCACGGTTCTCTAACCTATGCCACCTAACTTCAGCTTCAAGGAAAATACAGCCCACCCAGCATCAATTCTCTTCCCAACTGTCTTAGAAGAAAAAGTGAGTCTGCTCTTTGTTTCTTCTAGGGCTTAAAGTAATCGTACTACCCATCTGATCTTCAATGTGTACCCGAGACAGCAAGCTTCCCTATCCTAAAACACAATCGATAACAAACAAACTGTATGGATCTTCATCAAGTGCCTTTACAAATCAAGTATCTGACTGACTATCACAGGTAACCTGGCTGAGTCCCCTGTGGCCAACCTGTGAAAGGTGAGATGATGCGTTAGAAGAGTGGCGGTGAGGCCGGGCACGGTGGCTCACGCCTCACACCTGTAATCAAGAGCACTTTGGGAGGCCAAGGCAGGTGGATCACGAGGTCAAGAGATGGAGACCATCCTGGCCAACACGGTGAAACCATCTCTACTAAAAATATAAGATTGGCTGGGCGTGGTGAGGCGCACCTGTAGCCCCAGCTACTGGGAAGGCTGAGGGAGGAGAATGGCTTGAACCTGGGAGGCAGAGGTTACAGTGAGCTGAGATCACGCCACTGCACTCCAGGCTGGTGACAGAGTGAGACTCCGTCTAAAAAAAAAAGTGGCGGTGAGTGGGACAGTCAAAGATCCCCTCCCTCCTGGACCTCACTTTCTAGTGAGGAGAAAGGAGAAACAGTGAGGAAGAACAAAAATTTATGTCAAGTGACTCAGCGTTTCATGAGAAAGGTTAAAAAGGATGAGAAGTGTGGGGAGGATGGAAAGAGTAATCTACATGGAGTGATCAGGCAAGGCCTGTTGAATTTGGTGACTTCAGAATGGAGACCTGAAGGTAATAAGGAAATAAGCCACGTAGAAGTTTAAATACTTAGAGACAGTCATTTAGCATATTGAAACCTGCAGCCCTACTAAGGAAACAGGCACTTTTTCCTTTGAAAGTACCATGGATGATAATTTAT